TTATTTATAGAAGCAATGGAATGTCGATTGGCAGTGACAGCAGGATAAACTACTGACAGGTGCAATTAGAATAATCTCAGAAACAGGCCGAGTAAAAGACAGAAAACAATGAATCCCATTGTTTTGTAATGAACTAAAAATAACAAAAAGCAAGAGTATATTCTGTATAATGATGGGAAACTCTGGAAGTAGAGAAGCCTCTGTACTAACAGAACAGAGGAGTGGGTCAGGGCCTCAGTGGCTCTAGGAAATTACTGTGAATGGAAAATCCAGATGGATGTGGTGATGGTTACAGAAGCCTCTTCAGGTCCCATGATCAGATGGTTACATATTTGTCAATTCTCTTCAAACAGTACATTCTTTATGGTTGCTTTTTTTGCGTATGAATTATACCCCATAGTACTGATGCTTAAAACTTAACCATAGGCCAGGCATGGTGGCACATACCTGTGATGCCAGCATTTGGAAGGCTGAGGCAGGGGGATCATAAGGTGGAAGTCAGCCTGGGCTACGCAGCAAGACTGTGTCAAAATGGTAAGGGCTGAGTGTTTGCCTAGCATCACAGGGTCTTGAGTTTGGCTTTAACATTATAAAAATGAATAAAAATTAACTATAGATATTACTTTTTGTACCTTCATTTCATGATAGTCATGGTCCCACCTGAGAGACCTGTTCCAAAGCTCATCTTCCTAGGTCAGCAGCTCCAACCCTTTGTCTAAAAGCCACAGTTAGGGGCCAGAGAGACAGCTCAATGGTAAAGAACTCTTGTTGATCTTCAGAGGACCCGAAATGGCTTCCAAGTACCCAAGTCAGATGGCTTGAAACCCCTGTAACTCCAGCTTCTGCACACACACAATTTTTTTAAGGAGGCAGTTTGATGCAAAATAGTAGTAGGCTCGCCCCTCATGCCAATGGTATGAGCACCCCAGCTGCAGGCTCTTGGCCAGGTTTACAGTACCAGATATGAGTTTCCTCTGGTGGAACAGGCTGTATGTTGTGGTTAGCCTCATAACAGTCATGCTGCTTTTGTGTTCTTGGGTGTATCTTTCCAGGGCTGGTTGTTGCTACAACTCCCAGGGTTCACAACTGGCTAAGGCAATGGATTATTTTCTGCAAGCAGCCTGCTTAGCACCTTCTAATGCTCTGTAATCTAGCCAGCAGGAAGCTTCCAAGTCAATACTATGACCTGTGCTTGAGGGTTCTATTACCATAGGTTGGTGGAAGAGAATTTCGATTTAAGTCTGGCTTGGTAAAATGAGGTAGAGATTATGCCTTGTAGAAAAGTATTCTCCATATTTGAAGGAGAAGGTGGACTCAGGGTTTTTTTGGGGGGTACAGTTTTGAGAAGTCAGTTCTCCCAGGCTCTGATCTTTCCTCCTGTCCAGAATTCTTCTTCAGGTCTCATAACATCCCATGTCTCTATTAACATACTAAAAGGCAAAGGGAAGATTTCTCTCCTGGGTGTTGGAAGAGCAGTTAAGGTCAGTTTCCCAAGCGAATAGGAAACAGATAGGGAGTAAGGGATGTCAGGGTTTTGTGTACTTGTCCAATCAGTGCTTAGCTGAAGGAGGTTAGTGCTTCCCCAGAAGGCATATCCACTTCCTATAATTTTTAGTCCTCTCTGCTACACTGGTGACTTCATTACTTCAACTCCTGTCACCAAAATATGGTGCCCTCAGCAGTAGGTCCTTGTTTGTTTTGGTTTTCAAGGCAGAATATCTCTGTGTAGCCCTGGCTGTCCTCAAGCTAGCTATGTAGACCAGGCTGGCCTCAAACTCACAGAGTTCTGCCTGCCTCTGCCTCCCAGGTGTCACCACCACCACCCAACTTCAGCAGTATGTTCTTACCATAAATTTCTGTGGGTAATCAATAAAATGACAATAGCTTGTATTGTTTTGAGAGGTCTCTTGGACATCTTGGTCCAATAACTTGAGGGAAGAATCTCACACCTAGTGTTGGACTTTGTATTTGGCAACCTATGACTTCTGGGAGTAGCAATATTCTCATGCTGGCAAGTTCATTATGTGGGGCTATATTATTTATGATTTATTAAAGCTTGTCTGAGGGCACAGAAAGCAAAGCTATCCATAATCCATAAAACCAGACAAGAAGATACACACCTTTAATCCCAAAGCAGCCATATTAGCTATCCATAGAGCCAGGTGGCTCACACCTTTAATCCCAGGACTCAAGAAACAAATAGATGGATATCTGTTAGTTCAAAGCCACTGAACTACATGAAATTGATCCAGTCACACAAAGGTGATCTCAACACTTGGGATTATATGCCTTTAATTCCTCTTCTTTACCTTCCTCCACCTAGAGTGAAAACAGAGAGTGTGGCAGAGCATTTGTGGTCTTGACAGATCCTAGCTCTTGGACCGCACAAACTGATGTTCTAGAATCTTTAACTTCAGAAACCAAGCAAGTGCAGAGGTCACATTGATTCTCAGAGGTGCCTCCGCCCCAGCTCTTGAGCCCTAATCCTCCAAGGTCTAGCTTAAGCCCACATTCTCCAGGGAGCTCCTCATGGCCTGCCCAGGAATCAACTCTACCTCTCCCAAGACCATTTATTTCTTGCCGCTTTACACTGTGACAGAAGGCCAGCTTCCTTCTGCCTCTCTCTATCCTTTCCATTCTCTCTCCCAAGTAGCCACCTGAGTCTTGCCAACATGTCTGTGACTGAAACCTGTAGGCACTAACAAATGGCTACAAGAGAAGTACCCCCACAAAACTGCTCACATCACAAAGGCTGTCCAGGGTACCAAAGGTCATAGGGAACAGTAAGGTCACAGGGAACTGTCCCCCCCTCCTACTAACTAGCTGGTCCCTGTTCACCAGAAGCCAATCTGTCCTTTCCAGAAGCCTTTCCTAGGACACACGGACAGCTCTTCAGCATCCCTCCTGTTCAAAGCAAGAGACCTGCTTCTCCCCTTCATGATAAGAATGAAACAGGCTGAAATTTCCTGCTGCATCGACAGCCAAAACTAACATGCTGAGCTCTGTTTGTGAACTTCCTGCCGACTTCCTGCATCAGTTAAAACCCCTCTCTTATCTTGAGAAATGTACACTTGCAAAATAGCTGTTCTACCCTTATTGTTCCCACTTCTATAAACAGGATTGCTGAAGAGAAACTCCCGTTCATAGTACTCAGTCAGATATGCTAACATTCAAACACATCCAGGGCAGGAAAGACAAAAAATGATGATGAGTAGCCTATAAATGTTGTGAAACTCTCTGGACTGGAGCCCAGCCTATCAGAACATTAGCTTGGTTACACCCACAGGTGCAATAAACTTGAGTTCTCAAACTTTCTGATTGATTCTCAGCAGTCTGACATCTCAACAGGGAGAAACCTCTTACTACATTGTCTGTGGGAAACTGAAAACTCACTTTCCAAACACTGCCCAGGAATGGCTCCTCCCTTCCTTAAAATCTCCCTCTTCAACATGACTAGGGGAAAAAGGGCTACTGACAAATTAGGTCCAGATGAAGGCAGAGGAGGAAAGATCAGTCTCTAACATTGAACAAGCAACAGAGGAACACTCCATAGGGCTGTCACAGTGTGTGTGTTGGGGAGGGGACTGGACATATGCAGTGAAATCACACACGTAGTGATGAAAATTTCACTGAGATGCCTCAGTAGATCATTCCAGCCTCTGTGCTGTTAGCAAAAGGTGTGGTAAATTATAGACTGGTCAGGTTGGAGCTCACTGAGAACTGGGGCTGTCTAAATAAGCCCTCATGCACCAAATTCCAGAACTTTCAGGCAGACTGTGGTGGCTCAAACCTGGATTCTGTGAGGGGAGGGTAAGTCAAGATGATCAGCAAGCAAGTGGCCAGCCTGAGCTACTGAGACCTGGTCTGAGGGGGAAAAGAGTTAGGTCAAGCAGCGGGCCAATGCTTCTCTCAGTGACACGCAGAAAACATTTTGACTCAAGCTCTAAACACGAGCATGAGCAGTTAGTGGTGCAGAAGCAGAGGCTCTCAAGAAACCTCCGTGAGATGGATCACACACGCCAGCTCTGAGAGACAACGTGAATGAGTCTGCAATAACTACAAGAGAGGAAAAGGGCAGAAAGGGACAAGAAAGGTGTACACAGGATCCACAGTGTTACAATAATCCCACCTGGCCCATCTACCTACCCTGATAGCCCCTGCTTCTTTCAGAAGTGCCAGTCCCTTTCCTGTGTCTTATATATACAGCTTCTGGCTTAGCTGTCATGAATTCAATTTGGTTATTTAATAGTGAACATATTTTATTTCCTCTTCCGTTATGGCCATTGGTGTTGTTGGGTCTAGTAGGTTGGATTGGCAATTGTCTTTTATAGTTTGGAATGTATCACTCCATGCCCCCTCTCCTCTGATAATAATAATAACAATGATAAGAATAATAAGGATAATAATCTTCAGAATTTTGAATTTTGAAAACACTGTTATTCATTGTGTCTATGGAGAGATCTGGACTACTACAATTCCTGGCACATTCCTTTTACAGACTTATAGAATATTCTCTTTGTACTTAGTAACCTAAAATCTACTAGGCATTGGACCCAGACCATACTCACACTAGTCACAAGTTCTGTTACTGAGTCACACCCCAAGCTTTAAATAAAAAATGCACATCTTTGGCTTTTGGAGACTTTCTGTTGAAGTATTTCTTTGACATTTTTCCACTGTCTTCCCTCCCCTTTAATACTTTCCTCCTTCCCTGTTACCCTCCTTTTTTTTTTTTTTTGAGACAAGGTCTTAAGGTAGTGCAGGCTGACCTAAACCTCCCTATGTAACCAAGGATGATCCTGAACTCTGTGATCCTGCCTTCATCTCCCACGTGCTGGGAGTCCATGCATGGACCAAGGTATTTACTACCAACACAAGCTTCTCTGCTATGTTAACGGCTTTTATTCCCCCTTAGAGCAGCTTAATTTGTAATCTTTTCCTCTCACTTTGCCATGTCTATATTTTCATATGTTTTCACTCTTTATTTTCTTTTTGCACAGCTTGTCAAAACACAGCCCATGCTGATCTCAAACTTCGTATGTAGGTGAAGATGACATCCAACTTCCTGGTCCTCTTGCCTCTGGAGTGCTGGAATTGTAGTTATGTTCTCCAAAGCTCAGCTGGACTTCTTTTGTTCTCGCTGTCTTCCAGGCCTTTCATTGAGTATTTTATGTGTTTGCGTGCTTTACCAGAGTGTATATATGCAAACTACAAACAGAACTAGTGATTGAGAAGGTCAGAAGATGGCATCAGAACCCCTGGAACTAGAGTCAGAGACACTATATATGAGCTACCATGTAGGGGCTGGAAATTGAATCCATGTCTTCCAAGTTGGAAGTTGTATTTATGCCTGATGCTGGTTATTTGGGAGGGAATGGTGGTTAAAAAGTGTGTGAGAGAGAACCTTAGGGCTTAACCACTTGCAAATCAAGCCAGTGCCCTGACAGTACAAAACGTAAACAAAACAATAACAAAACAAAAACAAAAATGAAATAGAACAAAAAAAAAACCAACCAATCAAACAAACAAATACAATATTGAGGGATGGCTCAATGGTTAAGAGCACTGACTGCTCTCCCAGAGTTTGCTTCGTCCCATAGCACCTGCACAGCAAGTCACAACTGTATGTGACTCCCGTTTCAGGGGATATGGTGCCACCTCCTGGCTTCCCAGACACCACCATGGAAATACATGCTGGCAACACACCCATTCACATAAATTTAAAAAAAAAGTGACTGTAAAGTCTGAGTACACCGAGAGCTTTTCACAACTTTTTCTTTCTTTTTTCTGTGTGACTGTGGACAACCTCATGTTACTGTGTGTGGGCAGGGTGGTTGGGATATCTTTGGGAAGTCATTTTCTTCTACATGCACCCTTTGGAGCATTGCCGGTTCAGCAGCAAGCATCTATGTGCTGAGCCATCCCAATGGCCCATGTGTAGGTGTGGGCTGCGATGAAAAATTGATAACTAAAAGACATAAGCGTTTAGGCTATGACAAAGAAAGAGAGAGCCCTCTGATCACAGAGTACGTGACCAGAAGCTCGATCCCATGAACAGCTGCACCAACATCTGCCCCTTGCCTTGAGAAGACTGGGAACCAGATAGCCTCTTGACCTACTGGTTGTAAAACTTTTAGATCACAGGATGTTCTCTGGTCGTAAGCCCCTAGCCCATAGATGTGCCATTTTATTTTACCTAACCAGGTGACTGTTACTGCCTTCTTCAAGGCCCTTCATTTCATGATGACCTTGTATGGAAACTTAGTGTGCTAAGTAATCTCTGTAGCCATGGTAACCTTGAGAATTTAGTGGCTGATCGAAGAAGAGGCAGACTCCCTTGGTTAAGTACTGAGCTGAACTCAAGAAAGCCAGTAACAGAGAGGAAGGACTGATGATCAAAGGGATTAAGACTGGGCTGGTTTAACCCCCAGAAACAGCTGACCAGACAAAGGTTAACTCTTGAATCCCAGGCTTCAGCCTGGGAATCCAGCATGGGACTGATCAAGACCCCTGAATCTGGGTGTCAGTGAGGAGGCCTAGGTAATCTATTGAGCCTTGGGGCAACAGATCAGTACTCATCCCAAGTATACACATGGACTTTGGACTCCCATAGAACAATGTGAGGTGCACTCTCACCCTGAACTCTTGGGGAAGGGTCTAGGCCCTGCCCTATATGAAATGACAGACTATGGACACCCCCATGGAAGGCCTCACCCTCCCTGGGGGAAAGAGGGGATAACGGGGGGGGGGTTGGGGGGAGGGCACAGGAGGAGGGCAGGGAAAGGGAGAGGGACCTGGAACTGACTTGTGAAGCAACCTTGTTTCTTATCTAAATTTAAACTGGAAAATAAAATAAAATTAAAAAAAGGACTCTCCCTCCATTTTTTCCCTTTAAAAGCTTCTCCTTTTGGCTGCTTGGCATCTCATCTCTCTGCCATGGGGAGAGACCCAAATTGGCCAGCTTGAATAAAAGAAATCTTTTGCTTCTGCATTAGAAGTGTCAACTCCTTGGGTTAGTCTCTGGGATACACGATCTATGTATCTCACTGCATAGGGACTAGTGGGTGGCGCTATTTCCTTATGACCAATACTTTTAGAACTCTTGTTAGATTAGTAAGAGTCTTCCAAGAAGACTATTCATTCATCCCCTGGATTCATGTGTCTTGGAGCTCAATGAAGGCCTGGGTTTCACACTGTATCTGTAAATAAATACATCATGTCCAGCTGTAAGAATCGAGTCCCCTTACCACCTGAACCCAATATTCCCCCAACCTTACGAACTCTGGGGCTGATTTGGTCCTGAGAATAAAATCATAGTCTTCCAGAAACTGTTTAGATGGCATTGGTCTCATAGAGATCTGCTTGTCTCTGCCTATCATGGTATTATAGGCATGTGCCATCATAACATACAAGACCACTGTTTTTTTTTTTTTTTGCAAGATTGAGAGAATTAGAACACCTGGGTCATTAAAGAAGTGATCCCGGGGTACACAGAACAAAAAAGTGGGATCAGATGTCTATGTCACTGTCCAGGGAGCAAGGAGGAACAGGAGTAATCCTTGTGGTCTCCCGAGGGAAGGAGAACGGGCTCTCAGGAATGTTCTCCAGAAGGAGTGAACTACAGCAGCGGCCATTTTTTTTCTGGCCCCGGGCCAACCCCATTGAACACATTCAGCACAAAGGGTGCATTGTCTCAGGAGCAATGTCTCCAAGACAACCACTTTCATTACTCTCCCATGCTGCATAGTCCCCAGATTCAAAGAGCTCCTGGCAAAAGGCAAACCTCAGTAAAAGTCTGAGAAACCACTGGACTTTCCATACTGGGCCTCTGCCTGCTCCTCACAATCTATTATCTTCTGTCAGGATGATTTATTCTTCCAAAAGCCACTGTTGACAGACTGTGCCAGTGCCTACACAAGGTCCCTTGTACTTTACAGTTGGTGTCTGCCTGAACGTAGGAGTGCTAGTGCTGAGCATTCTTTGTCTCTGGGTGGTGGATAACTGCTCTTGCCTCAGAGGAGTGTGGATGACAGAGTAAGACAGTGAAGGGGGTCTGGACCAGATGTGCGTCATCCAGGCCACTCATCCTCACTAAAGTGGGCTCCTAGCTCTAGTGAAGGCTTCAACAAGCCACAGATTGGCTTGAGTTTCATCACAAGGTACAGTCTCTCTGAGACAATCAGAGGTAGACAATCACATACACACACACACACACACACACACACACACACACACACACACACACACACACCACCCCAACACACACCACAGCAATCCAGGCCTCACAGTGGTCTGAGCTCAGTTACACATCCTAGATGGAGATATTTCCTGAACCCGTGTTTCAGTTGATGCTTGCTTATGGCTTACTTGGTTTCTATAGCTTCTGAGTAACAGAGTCAAATAGCAAAAGTCCCACATCTCTCAAACGGAGTATAAGTGTATCAAGTGGAGAGATTCTAGGGTAAGTGAAGAATGAAAAATCAGATGCCTGAGCTTCTGTGGCCCAAGCCCTGGAAGCCCTACCTACATGAAGGTCAGAGGACAATTTGTGGGAGGTTTGTTCTCTCTTTCAACCTTGTGGGTCTCTGGGAAGGAGCCCAGGTCTGAAGGCTTATCTATGCCACCTTTACCCACTTAGTCATCTCACCAGACAGTCACCACAGTCACAAAAGTTAATGAGCTCTGTATCTATCTCTGTGTTCTCTGTGTATATCTGTCTTTTATTTTTAAGAGTAGATTCTTTTTACCCTGAGAATGGAAATGTACCTCAGACAAAATACATGCTCAACTGAGGGCAAGGCATGGAACCCGTGGAAGGATCTGTGAGGAGGTTGCAGGACTTTACAAGCCTCTACAGAGCCTCCCATTTTGTTGTATGCCATACCTCTGGATGTAATGGAATGGGTTTTTCTTTCCCCTGGGCCCCACAGCTATGATTAAACCTAGAACAGTGTGCATGTCAGTCAAGTACTCTCTCTCTGAGTTACATTCCATTCCTGTAACCCCATTCATCTGCTACAACTACAGAGCAAGTAGCAAAATGAGACTTGGTTGTCAATTTGGTCACTGCAAGATTGGCCCTTGAGAATGGCTGACAGAATGCCTTCAAGACCATGAACGTTTATCTGAGAGAGAAAAGGAAGAGGCTCAGTCCACACTTCACACTGGGGACAGCTTAACCTGGGGAAGTCTGATGTTATCGTGTTATCTACCTGCACAGATGGCAGTAGAAGAAGCCAGGTTAATTTACCTGTCTGGTAGCATCTACCAAACCAGAGCTATGCTTAGGACCAACAAGAAATTAGGGATAATCAGCCGCAGGCCCCTACTGGAGAGTGGAAAGATGGACAAGGAAACCCATATCACATGATGGTGATTGGTAGTGTGGTCTGAATGAAGTGTCAATTAGTTTCCCGTGTGTCTAAAGTTGTTCTGTAGACACAGTATGTCACAGTCATATTACAAAGAGCAGGTGACTGTGTCAGAGAGTAATTGGACATAAACCCCACTGCCATCGCCTCCTCTGACTGCTGGGATGTTAAAAACACTGGTTTGACAGCACCAGTCTGAGGATGCAAACATCTGTGCATTAGCTCCCTGACTCAATGTCAGTCTCAGAAGTCAGACCCTTTCCAGTACAGTTTCACAAGAATAATGTAGTCATCTAAAGCAACAACAAAAACAAAATCCAAACCCCAAACCAAAACTAAGCCAAACCAAAAAACAAACAAACAAACAAAAACTTCCTCAATATACTCTAACCCCGAGATCTGCTGTACTGAAAGAGCAGCCGTTTCCATCTCTCTCCCTTCCTCACCTTGCACAGACATGCTCTCTCTCCACCAGAGGCATGCGGACCCTGTGGCAGGCTCCATCCACTCAGGCCAGTTTGAAGCTTCATCCCAACGCTGCTCATCTGGCCACCCAAACTGATTTTTATTCAACCTTCGCACCAAGGAGGTTCTTCTCAACTCTGCATTTCATCAGGTGCGTCCAATCTGCATTGCTGTCCTAGATGAGAGGTGACAGATTTGTTCCAACCCTGACAATAGACGATGCTTGGGTATGATCCTAAACCTGTGAGAGCCCTGCATGGATGCCTGGAAATCTAAGAAAATTAGCATGCTGTCTCCAGA